AAAAAAAAAAAAAAAAACTTTCTGATAAAGAATGTCAATTATAATTGTTAAAAAAAAAATGGTCGGGTGCTTACTCACGGCTCAGAAGAATCCTAGCACTCTGGGAGACTGAGGTGTGTGGATTGCTCAAGCTTAGGAGTTCTAGACTAGCCTCAGCAAAGTGAGACCCTGTCTCTATTTAAAACAGCAAAACTAGCCAGGCAGTGTGGCAGATGCCTATGTCCTAGCTACTCAGGAGGCTGAGACAAAAGGATCACTTGAGCCCAAGAGTTGAGGTTGCTGTGAGCTATTACACCACAGCACTCTACCAAGGGCAGGCAATGAGACTGTCTCAAAAAAAAAAGCTTGACTGGGTTAAACATTCAACATGTACACTCACATGACGGATAGTTAGTACTGGTTATCAGCTGGGAGGTCAGCCAGTTTGTAGACTGGTGTAACTATGAATAGTCTGACTACTTATATCATACTTGTCTTTCCCCAGAGTGAGCAAGCTGAGAGAACCAGGTAGAAGCTACAGGTTGTTCTGACCTAGCCTTGGAACTTACACAGCTTTATTTCTGTAGCTTTCTGTTGGTTACACTTGAGTCTCTAGGGTGTCCCAGATTCAAGTGGAGGGATCATAGACCCCACCTCTCAATGGGGACTACAAAGATAATTTGGGAACACATTTTAAAGCTACCACAACTTTTATGTCCATTATGGTTTTGCTTTTTTTTTGGAAACAGAGTCTCACTTTGCTGCCCATGGTAGAGTGCCATGATGTCATAGCTTAGAGCAACCTCAAACTCTTGGGCTCAAGCAATTCTCTTGCCTCAGCCTCCCAAGTAACTAGGACTACAGGTGCCTGTCACAAACTCTGGCTATTTTTTGAGACGGGGTCTTGCTCTTGCTCAGACAGGTCTTAAACCTATGATCTCAGGTAATCTACCTGCCTTGGTCTCCCAAAGTCCTAGGATTACAGGCGTGAGCCACCGCACCCAGCCTGTGGCTTTACATTTTTTTTTTTTTTTTTGAAACAGTCTGGAGCTGTTGCCGTATGTAGAGTGGTGTCGCAGCTCAGAGCAACCTCAAACTCTTGGGCTTAAGTGATCTCTTGCCTGAGCCTCCCAAGTAGCTGGAACTATAGGCTCCTGCCACAATGCCCGGGTATTTTTTTTTTGTTGTTAGCTGGCCCGAGCCGGGTTTGAACCTGCCAGCCTCAGTGTATGTGGCTGGTGCCCTACCCACTGAGCTATGGGCACCGCCTGCATTTTTAATATGTTAGCTACATTGCTAGAGATAGAAGCTGAGTTCTGTTTTCGTCTAAATCCCCAATACAGAGTATTCACTAGAGCATGGTTTTTCTCAAGAGAGGTCACTAAGAAAGGGAGGACAAGTATAGCATCCCCTTTAGGAGTAGCATTATGAGACCATGGGCATAGGTTTATTCCTTGACTATTCATAGCTGTAACTTGGCTGAGTTCTGGAAATTGTGAGGAAACCAGATAAAAAGGTCAGCTAATGAGCCAATGCAAAGCCTTACTATGGCCAGAGAAACTGGAGTGTATGTTCTGCTGCTGACTGAGTATGGGGGTTGTCTTAACATAGGAAGGCTAACCTATTCTTTCTTTCCTACAGCATAAAGATAGGGAGGTGGTGATAGAGCGCCTCTCTTCAGGAAGTGACTGGTCTGATGTGGATGAGATCTCCACAGTCAGATTCTCTCAGGAGGAGCCGGTCTCACTGAAACTCTCAGCAGCTCCAGAGCCACCTTCTTTCACCACAGACTATGTCATGTACCCGCCTCATTTGTATAGTAGTCCTTGGTGTGATTATGCCAGCTATTGGACCGGCAGCCCCAAGCCTTCAGGCTACCCCTCCATGGGCAGCAGCAGCACTGACATAGCCCAGGCTGGGAGGAGCAGCAGGAGCCTCCTGAGTGATTATTCTTCTAACTCTACAGTGAGTTCCCAAAACACCTCCAGAGACTTTGAGGCCACAGAGGAAGGCAGATCCCAGAATTCTCGTTCATTTCCATTCTCCAGGAGCTTAGAAGAAGAGGTGAGGGAGAAAAGAACATTCCAAGAGGAGATGCCACCACGTCATTGTGAAGGACACATACCTGGCTCCCTTCCTAGGAGCCACTGGGAGCCAAGCCTGGAGGAAGGCTTCATTGATACCCATTGTCATTTGGACATGCTCTATTCCAAGTTGTCTTTCAAAGGCACTTTTACCAAGTTCAGAAAAATTTATAGCAGCTCCTTCCCTAAGGAATTTCAGGGCTGCATCTCTGACTTCTGTGATCCTCGGACACTGACGGATTGCCTGTGGGAGGAGCTGTTGAAAGAAGATCTGGTTTGGGGGGCTTTTGGCTGTCACCCTCATTTTGCACGTTACTATAATGAAAGTCAAGAAAGAAATCTTTTGCAAGCCTTAAGGCACCCCAAGGCTGTAGCATTTGGGGAAATGGGCCTGGATTACTCTTATAAGTGCACCACACCTGTCCCAGAACAGCATAAGGTAATGAGGCTCTCTTTAGTCTGTTTAGAGTTTTAATCCTTTTAGTTATTAAAACCTAATAACTCTACTTTTTTTTTTTTTTTTTTTTTTTTTTTGAGACTATTTGTCTCCCTGGGTAGGGTGCTGTGGTGTCTTAGCTCACAACAACCTCAAATATGTGGGCTCAAGTGCTCCTCTTGTTTCAGGTTCTCGAGTAGCTGGGACTACAGGTGCCTACCACAAAATCTGGCTCAGGCTGGTCTCAAACTTGTGAGCTTGGGCAATCCACATTGCTTAGTTGGCCTCTCAGAGTGCTAGGATTAGAGGTGTGAGCCACTGTTCCTGCCTTTACTTCTGGATCTAAAGAAATTAGAATCCCAGGACAGGTGCAGTGGCTCACACCCATAATCCTCTTACTTTGGGAGGCTGAGTTAGGAGGATCACTTGAGGCTAGGAGTTCAAAACTGCAGTGAGGTGGCACCCTTAGCTCAGTGGTTAGGGCGCTAGCCACATAGACTGAGGCTGTCGGGTTTGAACCTGGCCCGGGCCAGCTAAAACAACGACAGCTACAACAACAACAACAAAAATAGCCCGGAGTTGTGGTGGGCACCTGTAGTCCCAGCTACCTGGGAGGCTGAGGCAAGAGAATCACTTAAGCCCAAGAGTTTGAGGTTGCTATGAGCTGTGATGTCACAGCATTTTACCCAGGGCAACAGCTTGAGGCTCTGTCTCAAAAAAAAACAAAAAACAAAAAAAAACTGCAGTGAGCTATAATTGTGCCATGGCATTCCATCCTAAGTGATGGGGGAGACCCTATCTTTAAAAAATATAAAACAAGGCTGGGTGCAGTGGCTCATGCTTGTAATCCTAGCACTGTGGGAGGCTGAGGCAGGTGAATTGCTTGAGCATGAGTTCAAGACCAGCCTGAGCAAAAAGCTAGACCCCTGTCTCTACTAAAAATAGAAAAACCGAGGAAGAGGATCTCTTGAGCCTAAGAGTTGGAGGTTACTGTGAGCTATGATGCCACAATACTCTACCCAGGTCTACAGCTTGAGACAATGTCTCAAAAAATATATATGTAAAAAAGGTATAATTTCCCATTTAGCCAGAGATGATGACTATTACAATCTTAACATTTTTCCTCCCACTATTTTTTGAGCATGGTGCTTTGGCAGGGTAAAAATTATAGCATTTCAATAGAAGTTTCTGAAGGAGCAGGACAAGGAGAAAGACCTTCCTACTCCATCTCTTCCCTGGCTCCCAGGACGAATTTGTTGTTGGAGAATGTGCTGCTCTCCTGGAGTGGCATGGAGGGCTGCTGGGTCTGAATCTGCCTGTCCACTAGGCTCCAGGCCTTAGGAAGGAGGAGTGTGGATTCTACCCCATGCAGAATTTGGCACACCAGCTTTTCTCTTGGCACTGTCTCAAATCTGGCTTGAGGCAGCAATTTATTGGCCAGAAGTGAATAGTAAATCTGAACACAGGAAAAAATTTTTAAGAAAGTGGGACAAATATTTACTACTCTGTTTTCCATCTTGTTTCTGTTGTACAGTTCAGATGTGGTAGGGAAAGAGTTCAGAAGTGTATTCTGTTTAATTGTATAGCTGTTTATTGAATGCCTACTAGGCGCCAGTAATATCCGCATATAGCACAGTAATGTTTATTGAATGCCTACTAGGCGCCAGTAATATGTGCATATTAGCACAGTAATGTGCTGCATATTAAATTATCAGTCTCACCGGGCGTGGTGGGCTCACAGCTGTAATCCTAGCATTCTGGAGGCCAAAGCAGGTAGATTGCCTGAACTCAGGAGATTGGGACCAGCCTGAGCAAGAGTGAGATGCCGTCTCTTAAAAATAGCCTGGCATTGTGGCAGGTGCCTTTGGTCCCAGCTACTCAGGAGGCTGAGGTAAGAGGATCACTTGAGCCCAGGAGTTTGAAGTTGCTATGTGCTATGATGTCACACACTCTGCCAAGGATGACAAAGTGAGACTCTGTCTCAAAAAAAAAAAAATTATCAGTCTCAGACCTGCATATAAAGGTCCATAGGGCATGTGTACAATAAATTGGACTTGAAGTGAGAGTATGGGGTGAGAAATAAAGTGTCATTCAGCTTGGTGAGATATGATTCAAAACTGGCAAACAGAGGAAATAAATGACTGGCTAGACTCAGTGGGCAAAGCTGCACCAAGAGGAAGACTACAAAATAGTTCTTTTTTTCTTTTTTTAAATAGAGACAGTCTCACTTTGTTGCCCTCAATACTACCATGGCATCACAGCTCACAGCAACCTCCAGCTCTTGGGCTTAGGCGATTCTCTTGCCTCAGCCTCCCGAGTAGCTGGGACTACAGGCACCCTCCACAGTGCCCAGCAATTTTTTTTGTTGCAGTTTGGCTGGGGCCGGGCCACCACCCCTCAGTATATAGGGCTAGCCCTTCTACTCACTGAGCCACAGGCGCCACCTTACAAAATATTTCTATAAGCATTAGAGACTCCTGGGCTGGATTGGAGGAAGTGGATACTATATTTTTGATGTAAATGTAGCATTCACCCAAATGAGATGGATGATGGTAACTAGCAACTGTATTGGTACTCTGCTACTCAGAGCAAACCCCTGTTAACTTTCCTCTTGTGTGTGTTTACAGATTAACTGTTTAATTCCTAAGAGTTAGAGCCTGAATAGTTCGTGTGTAAGTTGCACTCCCAGTCAGTAAGATTATCAGAATCTCTTGGCATTTGGGATGGATGCCATGAAGAATACTCTCTTCCTCACCTAGGCTGCATCTATTTGTGTTTGACTGGAATTAATTGAGGTAATATGCAAAAGATGGCTTAGGGCCATCCCCAGGAGAGACCACGGAATCCCTGGAAATAATGGATTAGCTAGGAACCAAGGTTTATGACGGGGAAGAGAGTAATTACACTTGGTAAATAGAAATAACTTACTTGTACTTCATTCACTTTGCTCACTTCTGTTCTTTTTTAAATTGGTTCCTGGAAGGACAAAAGCTGTAGATAGCTGCAACCCATTTGGATGTGTCTTTATAAAACATTTTAAATTCAATGTTATTGTCCCTTAGAAAATTGCAAGAGACAATTAGTGGCTTGTCTTACATGCACCTGTCATGGAATCAAGGAAATGTGTTGTATATATGTGATTTTTATTTTATTTATCTTTTGAGACAGAGTCTTACTCTGTCACTCTGGGTAGAGTGCCGTGGCATCATCATAGTTCATGGCAACCTCAAACTCTTGGACTCAAGCAATCCTCTTGCCTTAGCCTCTGAGGTAGTTGGGTCTGCAGATGCCCACCACAACGCCCAGCTAGTTTTTTTCTTTTTAGTAGAGATAAGGTCTCACTCTTGCTCAGGCTGGTCTTGAACTCCTGAGCTCAAACAATCCACCTGTATATGCTTTCTAAAAAAATTTTTTAAAGGCTTTGAATGTTTTTTTGTTTTTGTGAAATTTTCCTGTTTCATTAAAATTTGAAAAATGTGTTTTAACAGCTATGTAATATTCTCAACTAAAGCTGTCACAGTTTGCTTTATTACTCTTAAGGAATGAATTTTTTTTTTTAATTGAGACATAGTCTCATTATGTCACCCTGGGTAGAGTGCTATTTTGTCACAGCTCACAGCAACCTCAAACTCTTGGGCTCAAGCGATTCTCTTGCTTCAGCCTCCTGAGTAGCTGGGACTACTGGTTCCTGCCACAATGCCCAGCTATTTTTTTGTTTTAGTAGGCCCAGGCTGGGTTCAAACCCACCAGCCCTGGTGCATGCGGCCAGTGCCACTAAGCTATCAGCACCACCCCTTAGGAATAAATTTTTAGAGGCAGGAATTAAAATATGGAATTGGAATCTCTTGAAATTTTCTACCTCCACAGGGGTCAAAAGACAGATGAGCGCTTAATGGATTTATCCAGGAGTGGGTTAGCTAGTCTTTCTTACCCCGGACAAGCATTCTGTAATTTTGCTGACTCTGATCATTTTCTGTTAGTTGGAAACATAGGTTAAATAAAAATTACATCAGAATTGGCATTAGCTTAGTGTTGCTATTTTGAGAAGAGGCAGTACCAGCATTAGATTGTAAATGTCAGTCTCAGGTGAATATCATCTGAGTCATATTGCCAGACGCCTTTTATTATTTGAAGCTAAAAATGTAAACATGAATTATATTCCATGATTGAAAATACTCATAGCAACATTAAGATGAAGAAATTTGCTTATAGAGAGTTAATACTTTTGTCCTTTGTTCTAAACCTGGCCTTCCTTGTTAGAGGAAAGAAGGGATTCTGGCCCTACTTTTTTAATTTAAATTATTAACAATATGCATATTTTAGGGCCTGATGCAGTAGCTCACACCTGTAATTCTAGCACTCTGGAAGGTCGAGGTGGGTGGATTCCTTGCGCTCAGGAGTCCGAAAGCAGCCTGAGCAAGAACAAGACCCCATCTTTAAAAAATAGCTGGGCGTTGTGGCAGTGCACCTGTAGTCCCAGCCACTAGAGAGGCTGAGGCAAGAGGATCACTTGAGGCAAAAGTTTGAGGTTGCTGTGAGCTGTGATGCCATAGCACTCTACCTACCAAAGGCGACAATGTGAGACTGTCTCAGAAAATCAAAAACGAAGAAAAAACAGTATCCAGATTTTATTAATGAAAATTTAAAAGTGGCTAGACTTGTACTTGAGGTTCTAAAGCCCTGTCCTGCCCCGCCCCATAAATAAGCATTGCACATTTCTTACTGCCTGGGTTCGAATTTGAACTCTGCTGCAGCTTACTATCTGTTGGTTTCTTGGCCTCACTGCTAAGGTGCTAACATTAGCAGTACCCACTTCAGAGTGGTTGTGAGAATTATAGTTTTTAACACCTGAAATGCTTTGAACACTACCTGGCTTTATAGTAAGTATCCAATAAGCACTATTATTATTATTTTTTTTGAGACAGCCTCAAACTGTCGCCCTGGGTAGAGTGCATGGTGTTACAGCTCAAAGCAACCTCCAACTCCTGGGCGTAAGCGATTCTCTTGTTTCAGCCTCCCAAGTAGCTGGGACTACAGGTGCCTGTCGCAACACCTGGCTATTTTTTGGTTATAGTTGTCATTATTGTTTGGCAGGACTGGGCTGGATTCGAACCTGCCAGCTCTTGTGTATGTGGCTGGTGCCTTAGCCACTTGAGCTATAGGCACTGAGCTAAGGACTAGTTATTATTACATAGTTTATATATTTATGTATTTTATTTATTGAGACAGTCTCACTTTGTCACCCTCGGTAAAGTGCTGTGGTATCACAGCTCACAGCAA